AAAGATATCATTGTTGGATTTTAAAGAATTTGAATTTTTTCATTTCCTCAAAAACATATCTTTTAATTAATGAAAAGGGGACCCTCCATTTTTTGAGTATTTCAAGATATAGGACCTTTCTGTAAGTATCTTTTTCTATGGAATCAATTACAAATAATGTTGGGAGTCTTTTAAGGAAGTCCAACAATGATATCTTTCTTTACTAGCTTGGTTTTGAAGCAGCTGAGAAATAAAACAAGGGCTAAAATAGATGAAGACCAAAATGCTGTATTTTTTACTGATAAAGTCTAGGTTGGAATTGATTATAACTGTCTGCAAGCAAATGTACTTCCTGTTGAATTTCAGGATTGGACAGACTTATAATGCCTATTGTAAGTAAGGTTGGTCTGAGCCGTGTATGGGGAGTGCCTGACCCTATAGGAGCAGTAGAGGATATGTATTTACAAAGTGGGTATTATCTCCCAAGAGAAAAAGGAGAGATGCTCAGTGCCCCTTTTTCTGTTTTTTTTTTTTTTTTTTTTTTTTTTTCTAAATTACTAATCACATTGGTAAATTACCCTCACTCTCTTGGTGCATTCTGAGGAAAGAGACTCAATTAATATTAATTGAGCTGCCTTTACATAGAATGTGGGAGATATGTTTACTAACAAATATGCAATTTTATTAATACATATTTATTATCAACAAATGTCTAGCACTATGCCTGGTTCTTTGGCATATAAAATAAATACTAGGTGGGATCCCTGTCTGTTGAGAGTTATCAGTATGTTCATGGAAAATTACTTAAACATATAAGAACAGCTCATATTTGTATAGCTTTTTGTAATTGTAATGTACTTTATATACTTCGTTGTTTCATTCACATTTTAATGGCAAGGACACTAAGGCTCAGTAAAACAATGTGACTTGTCCATAACCACACCGTGAGACTTGGATCAGGTATTCTGAGTCTAGATCCTACTTTTTTCCTGCTGCATCTTACAGAGCAGGAAAAAGTTTGCTCTGTAGGAATAGTATGTGACAGGCCCTCAGGCATACGGTAAAGACATGATAGGACATATCAGGGAATGCTTTGTACAGCAGGGTGGACTTGACCTGCTTTTTGAAGGGTGTAGTAGAGTAGAAAACCCCTTATCAGCAGAGGATTATCTGCAGAGGATACCTTCCAAGAGTACCTGTGGATGCCTGAAACTGGATAGTACCAGGCAGTTGACTCTCAAGCAATATGTGTTTGAAGCACAATTATACATGCATTTTCTTCTGCCTCTGCCACCCTGGGGCAGCAACTAGATCTTCTTCCTCCTTCTTGTGATTTTCTTAATAACATTTTCGCTAGCTTACTTTATTGTAAGAATATAGTGTTTGATACATATAACATACAAAATATGTGTTAATCCAGTTTTTATATTACTGGTAAGACTTCTGGTCAACAGTCGGCTATTAGCAATTAACTTTTTGAGGAAGCAAAAGTTATGTGCACATTTTTGACTCTGTGGGTGGGGAGGCAGTACCCCTAACCCCCACATTGTTTACAACTATATATACTATGTTTTTTCCTATACTATGTACCCATGATAAAGTTAAATTTGTTAATTAGGCACAGTAAGATATTAACAGTAACTAGTAACAAAATAGAGCAGTTAAAACAATCTTCTGTAATACAAGTTATGTGAGTGTGGCCTCACAGATGTCCTACTGTACTTGCCCTTCCTTTTGTGATGATGTGTGATGATACAGTGAGATGAGATGAAGTGAGGTGAACGCCATAGGCATTGTGACTTAGTGTTAGGCTACTGTTGACCTTCTGTATTCCTGAATGTGTGTAACCACCCCTTACTTGCAGTAAATGGCTTGGTTCACTCATTTCAGAGCCCTTGCTGAAGTCTTGGTGTGGGCTCAGTGCTTTCTGGTGTGACACACTGCAGTCACTTGTTCATGTCTTCCACCCCAAAATTTAATGTCTTTTCCATCTGAGTACTTACCGTGCACTGTGGCCATCACTTTTGTAGTTTGAGGTGTGACAGCAGAACTAGCATGAATTTCTTTCTTCTTCGTCATGATTTCATGCATAGAAAATTTGTTTTTATTTTAGCAACTCCAGCGTATGATTTTTGTTTCCTTAAGTCAAGAACTGTTTACCTTTTCATTAAAAGGAAGCATTTTACAGTTCTCTTCAGCATATGCAGATTGCCAGCACCACTACTCTTGCCTTTGGAGGCTATTATTAAGTAAAATAAGGATTCCTTAAACACAAGCACTAAGTGGTTCATGGGCTTGGGATGTCTACAGTGCAGAGACACTGGACAAAGGGATGATCCACATTCCTGGTGGGAAAGAGCAGAATGTATGAGATTTTATCACACTACTCAGGACAGTGCATAATTTAAAATTTATGAATTACTTATGGAATTTTTCATGTAATATTTTCAGACTTTTGTTTACTGTGGATAACTGAAATATGAGGGAGGACAGCTGTATAGATGTAGAGGAGATATGGGGGAAAGGTGTCCAGTCAGAGGCAGTAGATCAATGGGAGGTGTGAGAGTGTTAATGGAAAGGGTCCCGATCCAGACCCCAGGAGAGGGTTCTTGGATCTTGTGCAAGAAGGAATTCAGGTGATTCCATACAGTAAAGTGAAAGCAAGTTTATTAAGAAAGTGAAGGAATGAAAGAATGACTGCTCCATAGGCAGAGCAGCCCCAAAGGCTGCCGGTTGCCCATTTTGATGGTTATTTCTTGATAGTATGCTAAAGGGGTGGATTATTCATGCCTACCCTTTGTAGACCATATAGGATAACTTCCCGACATTGCAGGGCATTTGTATACTGTCATGGTGCTGGTGGGAGTATAACAGTGAGAACAACCAGAGGTCCCTCTCATTGCTGTCTTGGTTTTGGTGGCTTTTAGCTGGCTTCTGTACTGCAACCTGTTTTATCAGCAAGGTCTTTATCACCTGTTGTGTGAACCTCCTGTCTCATTCTGTGACTTAGAATGCCTTACCATCTGGATATGCAGCCCAGCTGGCCTCAGCCTCATTTTACCCAGCCCCTATTCAAGATGGAGTTGCTCTGGTTCAAACAGCTGACAAGAGGATTCTAAGGAGACTTGGCTGACTGTACTGCAGGATTCGTGTTGAGCAACCGTGTGGAGAAAGTGTGAATGAATTGATGTTACAGATGACCAAACTTTTGAAAGTTTGGAAGAGAAAGTATTTGCTTTTTGCAGTAGACTTCGAGGAGCCACTGAAAGCTCTTAATTTGAGGAATAACATGATTGAAACAGTCTCTAACCTACATTTTCAGCCCCTTTATGCATCTCCCATCCCCAGTTTCATTTGACCTGTGTATAAACTTCTGTTAGTTTTTCTTTTATCTTTTAGTCTTATTTTCTGAACTTAGTATATTAGTTATTATTAATTGAAGAAATGCCGGTTTTTCTGTTTTCTAAATTAAGTCCTCTTTTTCCTTATTCTTTTTATTCTATTTGTTTCTATTCTAGTATCTTATAATTTAAATTGGAGAAATTGTCTTTTCCTTGGCCACTTTACAAACAATATATTTCATTAAAAACAGCATATAGACAACCTGTTACTTTGTGCTTGATTCATGTTTTTATTTCTACATTTTCCTCTTGAACTAGCTTAAGAAATAAGATTCTTTCTTTGCCTTTCAGGTCCTACCTCGAACATAAGACCTCCATGAACTATATGCTGGCAACACGCCTCTTCCCGGACAGGTAGAGATTTGCTAAACTTTAAATTTAGGACTAGATCACAAGATTAAAAGAAAGTACGTGTAAAAGAAGGAAAGATACCTTATTAAAGTCTTTGTGTAAAATCTCTGATAGAAAATAAGTCCTTTAGAAAGCATGATTTAATGATTCACTTTTCCAGAATTTATCATGAACTCTCAGCACTTTGTAACATTTCCAAAAACCAAAAATTAAACTATCAAGATCCTTGGGCAATTTTAACAGATGCCTTAAACTTTATTCTTTTTTAAGGAAGGCCTTTACTCAGTGCCATTATACTTTAGATGCAGTTTTAATAGACACGATTATCTGTTTTTCCAGACCAGAAGAGGTTAGAATTATCAGATTGGAAAAAGCGGAGGGGAGGTAATTCATAAAGTTAATACACTGAGACTTATAAGAAATGACAACTGATAATCTCAATACAAGGGAAAACCGGAGGAAATGATGGAAAACAGACATTGGAATTTAAATAGCACAGCAATCAGGGCTGCTTAGTCCCACATACTTTTGTAGCCCCTGAGACATAACTGCATTGCAGTAGAGTTCATTAATTGATTATCAAAATAAGGCACCCTAGTTATTTAGAGAAACCTACATTAGTTTGAGGATATATGTACTTTTTTGAAGGATTCATAAAATAGATACCCAGATTTTAACCATCTCTTGCAATTTCATGATCTAGTATCAGGAAATATATGGGATTTGCAATTTCTCTCTGTAAATTTGTGGTAATTACGATTGATTAAGTGATCACATTGTGTAGCTTCTAATGAAGGAGATCTTTGGATTTACACAGAAGACATGGAATCTTATTTCTTTATATAAAACCTGTGGGTTTTTCCTTCTCTCTATGAAAACTTTTACAAGGCGTTTTTTTTGTTTTGTTTTGTTTTTTTGTTTTATCTTTAGAGTACAGATACTTTACCAGGATGTGTTCTGATACGTCATTTTTCATTATTTTGGTCATGCAGTGAGTGTGCCCTTTCAGTCTTTCAGTTGTGGGAAGTATTTCCCTTATCCTTTCTTTTCTGTCCTTGTGGAATTCCTGTTAGATAAATTTTGGCTGTAGCCTCCATATTTCTTTACTGTTTTTATACTTTTAGTCTTGCCTCTTAGCTTTAAATTCTTGGAGATTTCTTGGATTTTGTCTTCTTAAACTAAATTTGTCTTCAACCATGTCTATATTGTTATTTATTACCCACACAGGATACGGGTGTTTAATTTAGTTTTTTATTTTGGCAAGCATGATTTTAATATACAAGAACTATTTTTGCTTTTTGATTAGTTTTAGTATTTCATGGATGTAATGTCTTTTCAAATCTCTTTGACTATTTTAGATTGTTTAAAGTTCCTTTCTGTTTTTTGAATTTTTTTCTTTTTTTAATTATACTTTAAGTTCTGGGGTACATGTACAGATTGTGCATTGTTACACATGCTGTGGTGGTTTGCTGCATCCAACCCCTCGTCCGCTACATTAAGTATTTCTCCTAATGTTAACCCTCCCCAATCCCCTGTCCCTACTATACCTTCCCTAACCCCCCCCCCCCCCCCCCCCGGCCCCCGTGTGTGATGTTCCCCTCCCTGTGTCCATGTGTTTTCATTGTTGAACACCCACTTATAAGAGAGAACATGTGGTGTTTGGTTTTCTGTTCTGTGTCAGTTTGCTGAGAATGATGGTTTCCAGCTTCATCCATGTCCCTGCAAAGAACATGAACTCATCCATTTTTATGGCTGCCTAGTATTCCATGGTATATATGTGCCACATTTTGCATTATTTTAATTATTCTGGATTAGTTGTATGTATTCAACTTATTCTTTCTAGTTTTAACTTTTATATATCTGCAATTGTATGATAATCTTTGATTGTTCAATCTTATTTAGAAGTAATGAACTGTTTGCTTAAAATAGGTAGTTTGCTTCACTTGATATATGGATCTGTTTCTGAACTGACATGAACCCTACACTTGAGGCTGTATCTTTCTATTCTTGGTTTTCCCAGGAAGGGGAAGGAGGGCAGAGTAGGCATTCTGGGTACCACTACATAAGCCAAAATTAGGAAGCATTTGCCTAGGAGTAGCAAAAAATAAACAATTTGAGACATAATAATATATTTGCCTCTTTGTTAATATATTAAAATAGTGAGGCCTAGCAGCAGATCTAATACCTACCATAATTTCAAAGAGTGATACAGTTTTTCAAAATACTTGTAACAATTGCAAAGTAATATGAAAAAAGATGCATTTTTTTTTTTTTTTTTTTTTGGTAATGATGTCACATTAATCCACTACTGTGGGCTGGGCTTGGGCTTGGTGGCTCACACCTGTAATCCCAGTACTTTGGGAGGCCGAGGTGGGTGGATCATGACCTCAGGAGATCAAGACATCCTGACTAACATGGTGAAACCCCATCTCTACTAAAAAAAAAAAAAAAAAATTAGCTGAGCGTGCTGGCAGGCACCTGTAGTCCTAGCTACTCAGGAGGCTGACGCAGGAGAATCGCTTAGACCTAGGAGGCTTAGATTGCAGTGAACGGAGATTGCGCCACTGCACTCTAGCCTGGGCGACAGAGCAAGACTTCGACCAAAAAAAAAAAAAAAAAAAAATCCACTACTGTGGATAGTTTCTTATATTTATATGGAGGAAATGCTAAGTTTCAATTAGAGGCTGTAAGTTTTTCTCTATCCAAGTTTGTAAACTCCCTGCATTCTTTCTTTAGGCCCCAGTTAACAGCTCCTGCTTATGAAGCATTCTGAAAACTTTGATTAAAAAACATAATTTTCCCTGTTTAGCTAAGAAAAACCCTCATGATCTACTTACCTACCTTTTTAGCCTAATCTTCACTTTTCCACACCAATTTATGGCCATTTCTCCTTGCTCTTTTATACATCCTTATTCTTACAAACTCCCCTTCTTTTGGAATGGCCTTCAATCCATTCCTAAATTCTTCTATCCTAGACTAGGAAGAGGTACTACCAGCTGTTCTTTTATCCCTATTTGGATTCCTGGATTGTATAATTGCCTGTTTGCTAATTTGTACTTTACAGGTTGACTCTTAAGAGTAGATACTTTGTTATGTTCATCTTTGTCAGTATGAAGAGTCTACCACATGGTAGGCACACACACGGAAACATGCATTGAAAAAAATGAGATTGTGTTTGTAGTAAGTCCTGATAATCTTCCAATAAATCTGTTCTCTCATCAGTCTCAATTAATGTTTTCCTTCTTGTAAATCTAATTAATTTTGTTTTTGTTAGAACCACTTTCCAACTAATTCTCTACTAATTTCTTTTAGGTTAGTTTTTGTCTACCTTCCTTATTTTCTGGACTCCTCCTCAACCTTCCCACCCTGTCCTGGCAAACAGTATCTTACATACTGTCTTACACTATGGCAGTAGCTTTAACCCTGGTTTATGTCCCGGTCACTACACCCCACCCCACCCCACCCAGAGTGAAGTATTTTTACTTACTAAAAGCTACCCAGGTCATTATAATGTGAAGTCATGATTGCAAATTACTGGAGAAAACCATTATCTGGGTGAAAAAACTTAAAATCATTTTGAGACTTTCTGATGATTGCATGACAATATTAGGACAGTAACATGGATAGAAGACATGGGAAAGGAAAGACAAAACATTTTGGTGAAGACTTACTTTTCACTGGATTTTTCTTTATATATCATCTACATTGCATTTGTCTCTTTACAAAAAAAAACTAGTGTCAAATGTTACATGTTATGTGACTCTATATAACATTCTTGAAATGACAAAATTTTAGAATGGGGAACAGATTAATGGGGTGGGGTTAAGAAGTATGGGTGGTTATAAAAGGGCAACATGGGGGAATCTTCATGGTGATAATAATCATTG